GGGGGGGGGGGATGAGTGCATATTACATATACAAGTGATCTTGGCAGCATTGATGGGATCACTTGTACTAAAACACCGGCTTTCGCCCTATACATTTAGCCCTGCTTGCCCGAAGCAAAAATAACTACCCGCCTGGTGGCTGTGCCGCCATTCTACTCCCTGCCGCCCCCAAGACCAGGCCTCGGTGGCCTTGTGGGAAATCTGGCCCTGGTCACATGTCCTCGCCTGTATGCGACCGCCAAAAGCCAAAAAAAAATCTGATTGGCCAGAGAACAGTCAGATGTCAGATTTAGCTTTGTTTTGAACGAAATTTGGACAGATCAGAATTTCATTAAATTGACATTCAGATTCATTTGCATTCGGACTCGTTCAAATTAGGAAATTCTAATACATCCGAATAATCAAATTCAATTCCTACAAATATCCATTCGGAATAAAAACAAAATTTACATTTCTATTTACAATCAGCTTAGGCTTGATAAACAATTTTCAATCTTATTGTACATATTTTTATTTCAATATATTTTCTATTTCTGTACCATTCAAAAACGTGTGTAGCCAGCGTGTGTCAGCAGGCTTCAAACAGGCATTTCCATACAAGTTTACGGGTATGCATATCTAGCTTGAAGCAGATCAAATGCAAGTCAGGAGAAGGTCAACTGTATAAATGAATTCTGAGTGATCTCAGAAGCTTCTCCTACTAGCGACAAACCAAAGCCATCAACACAGGTCCTGAGGTTGATATGTTGACTTTAACATGCAACAAGTATCACCCAAGAGTAAAAATCAATTATTAACAATTCAGAGAGCAGTGATGTGCAGTCACCCTTAGTAACAGATTCCGTATACTAAACTCTGATTTGCTGCTATGAATTGCACATCCCCGTTGCTCTCGGCTTTACTGCTTGGAGTGTCAGTTATATCATTCACAGGCTTATGTAATAATACTGCAAAGTGTGTGATGTGCACTAACCTATAGAAGCCAATCAGAAATCAGTTTGCCTTGTATTCTGCATTGAGAATCCAACAGACAGAACGGGGCACCACTGTGCCTAAATGGTTAGAATGCTCGCCTTGCAGCACCAAGGACCTGGGTTAAATTTCTACCAATGCTGATTGTATTTTCTCCCCGTGTTTTTGTTGTTTTTTTTTTTCCTCTTTGTTCTTCCCTTTCCTCCCACAACCCTAGTAGGTTAAGAGGCTTCCACCCAACTGGCCATACTGCATGCATGTGGTAGGGATGTTAGATTGTAAGCTCCTTTGAGAGCAGTGATTGAGGGCAGTTGGTTCAATGTTCTACAAAAGAGCTCACGGGCAAAAAAAACTTAAGGGCTATGTAAATGATTTTTAAAAAAAACTGATTGCCAGCACAGTGAAGGAATGGCATCTATTATATGAAGCGAGTGACAATTTGGAGGCTCCCAGGTCCCCCTAAACAAGACATATAGACCTAAGCTTACTTATAACGGCTTGCTACGAGTTACGGCACATAAATCATCATTAACTCTTTTTCCCTGCCAGTCCACATTGCCGTTACCTGTCATCTTGCTGCCAATCACCCATCAGCAGGTCGCGGAATCTATAGCGTGGTGGCAGAGGCTGCACATCCTTCTCCAGCTCCATGGTGTCACCTGCTCCGTCTTACTTTCCTCTTGGAAATTCAGTAGCCAAGTCCTCTTCTGAGATCCTGCTCCTTCAGCTGAGCATGCCCATTCATTTAAAGGAGTGATTTCGAGGTAGCCCACACCTATCACCGCTTCTCCACTCCTATATTCCGGTAGCAGTTCACCTGCAGGGCGATCACGGCCAATCCGGTACTGAGGGATGTAAAGAAAGGGGGGGGTGGTTAACGATACCCTACCTAGCAGACTGAATGGGAATTGAGCTTTCAGAGAGGCAGGAGTAATAGGAAATCATTAATTCTAGTGTAGAAGAGACCTTCAACAAGTCTTTTAGGTAGGAAACCCCTCGAGGGTAACTTGAACCCAAAGGGATTGCAATCTCATAGCTGTCAAACTTGTTGCAAGGGTCTTCAGTGCTCCGCATCAAAGCGTTAAATCCATTGAGTGTAGTATCTGTAGGGGGACAGCTCCATTCTTCCACATAAAAGGATAATAAGAGCTGGAAAGGCTTAGAGGAACAGGTGGATGCATAGGGTGACTAGCAAGACCTGAAGAAATGCAAGTATATATAGGCAATCATATCTCACCCCTGCACTGAAAGCACAGCTTTACCTCTGGATCTACATAATGCAGAGCTCGGTGCTGTAAAGTCTCAATCACTGAAGGGGTGGTGGGGTGGAGCTGAAAGCTAAATGCTTTTTATTCACAGACGTTTGAATGGAAAGACTTGGTGGAGAAACAAGGGAGGGGGAACAAGAGAGAGCAACATGGGGGGGGGAAGGGGAGGAAGAGAAGACCGGAGAGGGGGAGAGGTGAGGAAAGGGAACCATAGAGAAGAGGGTGATAGCTTGGAGAAAAGTGTGAAAGTGCAGCAAGAAATTCTTATTCTGGGAGAGTATGAGAAGAGACACGTTTATGTAGAGGGAAGAAAGTGAGAATCTGGCAAGATTAGTATTCCGAGGAGACGATAGAAGAAGCCTGGAGGGTCAGGGAGGCAGAGAAAGACTGCTGTGCATAATGGCTGAAGTATCTCAATATCTCATAATGAGAGGAAGACGATCAGAGGGAGAGAGAGGGTCTGATTGCGAGGTACTGCATTGAGGGACAATGAGTAGCAGCAGGAGAGACAAGGGAGAAAACACTGAGTGAATGGAGGAAAGAGAGAGAAGAAATAGGAGAGAGAGGAAACAAGTGGTGGTGAAAGAAAGTGGAAGAGATAACAGGAGAGCAGGAGGGAAAGAGAGAAAAAGAGAGAGAGGAAGAATAGACAGCATGAGAGCGCAAGGGTAGAGAGAGAGGAGGGGGAAGCGAGGAAGAGAATGAGAGACAAAGATTGAGAGAAAATAGAGAGTTACAGGGAAAAGGAGAAAAGAGAGCAAAGGGAAAAAAAGAGGGAGCAGGAGAGAAGGGAGGGAGCAGGAGAGAAAAGAGGGAGCAGGAGAGAAAAGAGGGAGCAGGAGAGAAAAGAGGGAGAAGAAGAAGAGGTAGCAGAGAGAGAGAGAGAAGAAAAAACAGTGTGAGATGGCAAGAGTGAAGGGGGATAAGAAGAGGATGAGAGAGAGGCGATGAGAAAAAGGAATGTGAGACAGAGAGTGAGGGAAAGAAGGTTTAGAGGGGGAAGGAAAAGAGAGAGATGGGGGGGTGAGGAGGAGAGAATTGGAAAGTGAGAGAAGAAAATAAAAAAAAAGCATGAGAAAGGAAGAGTAGTGAAAAAGATGGGGACTGAAAAGAGAATTAGAGAGAAATAATAAAAGGAAGAGAGAGAGTGAGAGCACAGAACAAGAGAAGGAAGGAAGAGAGAGAGCACAGAACAAGAGAAGGGAGAGAGGGAGAGAGAGAGAGAGAGAGAGAGAGAGAGAGAGAGAGAGAACAGAACAAGAGAAGGGAGAGAGAGAGAGAGCACAGAACAAGAGCAGGGAGAGAGAGAGAGCGCAGAACAAGAGAAGGGAGAGAGAGAGCACAGATCAAGAGAAGGGAGAGAGAGACACAGAGAGAGAGCACAGAACAAGAGAAGGGAGAGAGAGAGAGCAAAGAACAAGAGAAGGGAGAGAGAGAGCAGGTAAGGGGGGAAGAGAGCACAGAACATGAGAAAGAAAACAGTGCAAAAAAAAAAAAAAGAGCATTAGAAGGGAGAATGAGAGAGGACAGAGCAAAATAATGGAGTTAGAAAAAACACAGGAGAAATCAGAGAGAATTAAGAAAAAGAGAGATAGGAGAGAGGAGAAATAACTGTGTTAGAGACATACAAGAGGAGGAAAGAAATGAAAGGAAGAAAGAAACAGACAGGAGAGAGACAGAAAGACTAGAGATAGAAATAGACAGAGACAGGAAGGAGAGATACAAAAGAGAAAAAGGGAGCAGAGGGAGTGAAGTGAGGAAAATAAGACAAAAGAAAGTGGATGGAGAGGTAAAGAGGGAGAGACTGAATGAGAAGCAGAGATGAGAGGGGGGAGATTGGGGAGAGAGATGTTAGAGGAAAAAGGGATAGAAGAGGTATTATCGGCATAAGGAAATAGAGGAACAGAGGCAGTCTAATAGGGGATTGGGATGGGTGCTGGGACCCCAGAGAGTAATATGGCAGGATATGGCACATAGGGAGTTACAGTTGTTTTCTTCCAGCAGATAAACAAGGACAGTACCAGAGGAAACAGATCTGCATTTACCAAGCAGCAGAGCAACAGGTAGCGGCTGCAATTTAAACAGAGATGTTAACTGCAAATTAACTGTGCCGTAAAGACACATCAAGCATGACAATTATTCTGCCTGACTGTATTAATTCCTGAGACAGGCGCAGCAGTAGAATATCTCTACAAATAATAATTATGATAAATAACATTTTTTTCACCATTTCTGCAGCACACAGCTTGTCAGTGCAGAATGTTCTCATGGTCCTCTAGCGCCCTCTTTCTATAAATTGGTAGAATTACATCTCCTATAAAGGGAGTGCGGCAAGGCAATGGTCCTTGGATCTTACAGGGGATATAAATAACCAGCACAGGAAGGGGGTTTCTGCTTCAGGTTTTAAAATTAGCCAGCTCAGTGTTAAAAATGACTATTTTGTTCCCAGAAAAGCTTCAGACGACCTGTGGCTCTGCAGCTCCTGCCTCCACCTTGGCTGAACCGCTGTGTCATTATCAGCTGAATCAGTCAAAAAGCTATTCATTTGTCTGCTTCACCGATTTGGAAGCAATGTCTGCACAAGGCGTTATATAAAGTTGCAGGTATAAAACAGGGAATGAAGCCCTTGTGAATACAAGCCAGCTATGGAACACATGGAGATTGGCTCCATTCATCCACTAGATGCCTTAGTGTGAAGCAGGTCCTCAGCTGCTGGGAAAGGATTTGCAACCATCAGCACAGGGATTCCATACTGCTGCAGCTTTTAGGACCCGTGCACACCGGGGCGGTACTGTAGTGTGGGTCCGCGGACATGAACAATTCCATATATTGCTATGGGGACCGTTCATGCGACCGCGTGCACTCCCCAAAAAATGGCCGAGTCATTTTGGTGTCACCCCCTCTGAAAAGTCGGGCACTTGGCCATGGAGCGAGAGCCCGACCGTTGCAGTAGAGAAGAGGGGACCCAGCAGCATACCGTATCCCACCGTAGAAACATTCCCTCCTCTTTCTGCCGGCGTCCATCACCAGGATGGCCGCACATGTGCGATGACGTCCGGTCCTCAGGTACAGCTTCTTCTCCAGCAAGGAGAACATTGAGAAGCATAGTAGTGACATCACCAAATCTGACTCCAAATCTCCTGAGACAGAGATGATGTCAGAGAAGTGTGGCTCATCTTCGTTTCCATACATGTGTGCCGTTCTAGTAGAAGTATTGCACGTACTCCTGAGCATGCGCGCAGGCACGTGCACCCATTTGAACATTGGTACTGGACAGCCTATTTAAGGAGGAGCTCTTCAGTTTTTCAGCTAGTGCCCTTCTTCCGGTGTTTACTCATCCCGTTATTGCTGATTTTGACCCGGCCTATTCTTGGACTCTGCTAATTGCTGTCTGCCCCTGACCTTGGCTTGTTCCGGACCTTCCTTATGCATACTGATTCTGCACTGCCTTGTTTGCACGTTAGTGACCCTGTCTGCTGATTCTGTACCTCGCTGCCTGCCTGATGGTGACCCGGCTTGTTCCTGACTTTGGCTCTGCTTTGCAGCGGTGCCCGCTTCACCCATTGCTGACTTTACCTCCCAGGAAATGACTGCCATCATCTTCCTTCAGACTGCATCTCTAGCTCCAGGTGACTCTACTACATCACAGACAATCCAACTCTGCCGGACGTTCCTAGCAAAGTAAACCATTCCCTGCTGTGTTTTTTTGTTTTGTTTTTTACTCTATCGGAACCGCCAGCCGAGTAAAAAAAGAAAAAAAGACAGCATAGAAATGATTAGCTAGATTGCTATTGGCTATTTGAAATTGCAATAGCAGACTATGGTCGTGACGGCGCCCCCCCTCAGTCCTGCGCCCGGGGCAAGTGACCCCCCCGCACCCCCGGTTGTTACGCCACTGTTTCAGGCCCTCTTCCGTCTCTACACCCCCTGTCCGCCATTACCAGGGGTGTTTGGACGAGAGAAGCAAGTGAGGTTGCCCTCGTCATCTCAGCCTGTTACTAGGTATGTGACAGATGATCTCACAGAGCAGATACATAGCTATGAGGCTTCAGGCACAGATAGCGTCTAGGGACACTCACACGTCAGGAAGTGCACCACTATTTTACAGGAACAATCCGAGGCACAATTTACATTTCTAGATAGTAGCAGCACAGTGGCGCAGCACAGTGGCGCAGTGGTTAGCACTTCTGCCTTACAGCACTGAGATCCCTGGTAGACCTGTAATTGAAGAAGATAGGTCACCAGCACTCCATAAGTTAAAATGAATGAGTCCTTTTAATGGACAATGATGTCACAGAAATCCAACATTAGGCTCATGTTGGATTTCTGTGACATCATTGTCCATTAAAAGGACTCATTCATTTTAACTTATGGAGTGCTGGTGACCTATCTTCTTCAATCTTGTGTTTTGCACGGTGCCATCCGTGAAGTTACTTCGAGCACCATTTATTTGATTGTTGGCCGGGACTGCTGAAAGGTGTGCGGAGGGCACATCAATTGCATCTGGTAGACCTGTAAGACGGCAAAAAAATGTGTTTCATTTCGGACTTTTCGTAATTTTGTTTTTTGGGATTCAGGTCCGAAATTCAATTCAGTTCGGGATTC